TAAAAATTTTCAATTAAAAAAAAAATAAAACGTCCCAACATTTTTTTTTTAAAAAAAAGCTTAAATGCAGCTCTTTTTTTTTTGCCAAGGGTAGCACCATACTCAGAGAGAAGAAGTAGCAAGCAAAAGCAAGCATTCTAGGAGTATCACAGAATTACAGAATTGGAAAGGGATCTTAGAGGTCTTCTATCATTCACCCATTCATGCAGGAAATCTTACACTATTCTGGACAAATGGCTATCCAAACTCCTCTTAAAAGAATAATAATTCTTATTATGTGATTTTAAGTTTGCCCTACAGAACTCTGGAAAAACAACATAGGGCGAAAACAGTACTCTTCTAGCATCTTACAGACTAACACATTTATTAAAAGCTTCTGTGGAGCAGCTTCGAAGGGTTTAAAACTGCAAGATTGTACTTTCCAGGAATCAAGGACTCTCTAGTTCAATGCTTTTCAACCTTTTCACAGATTGTACCACTTTTAGGATATGGCACTATTCAAATACACCAGTCGCCTAGCAAGGTGTCAAAAACTTGACAAAAAAAAAAAAAAAGGAAAAAAGTGATAAAGTACAGGTAGTCCTCGACTGACAACAGTGACCATTCTTAGTTACTACGGCACTGAAAAAAAGTGACTTATGACCATTTTTCACACTTAAGACCGTTGTAGCAACCCCAGGGTCACGTGATTTACATTCAGATGCTTGGCAACTGATTCATATTTATGATGGTCACAGTGTCCCGGGGTCATGTCACCCCCTTTTGCCACTTTCTGACAAGCAAAGTCAATGGGGAAACCAGATTCACTTAAGAACTATGTTATTAATTTAACAACTGCAGTGATTCACTTAACAAATGTGGCAAGGAAAGTCATAAAATGGGATAAAACTCATTTAACAAATTTCTCACTTAGCAACATAAATTTTGGGCTCAATTGTGGTTGTAGCTTGAGGACGATCTATATACCCACTCACTACACTTTTAATGGGAAACTTGTGTTTGTTTCTTTGACATGAATCTTTGCACTGTTCTATCCCCTTCTGTCCTTCCGGTTGACTCAAGAAGCCTCTCCTCTTCTCCATCTCTCTTTCTCCGTCCCTTCTCTTTCCCCGTTGGGTTTTTTTTCCCTCCCTTTCCCTCCAAAATCTTCTTTTATATTCTCTCCTCTCACCCTTCTTTTCTCTTCGGTGTAGCTGCAGCTGATGCCTTTCCCCGAGGCTGCCCGCAGCTTCTGGAAGCGCCAATCAGCTAGAGCACCACAGTGATCCGGGGAGCTCAGCAGAGCTCCTGCAACACCATAGCTCCTGCTGACTCTCCCAGAGGCCCGTGTGGCACTGCCACTGCTTCAGCTCATCCCCCTGCTATACTTTTGCACCTTTTAATACTTTTTTTTACAGTGCTTTTCAGCCTGTTGTACCCATACCACCTGCCAGGTGCCGAAGTACCACCAGTGGAACGTGTACCACAGGTTGAAAAGCATTGCTCTAGATCTCATGAAGGGTTCTAGATCTGTGGGTCGGGACCCCATTTGGGGTCAAACGACCATTTCATGGGGTCGCCAAACAACGCAGTCCGCCATTCTTTTCCCCTTTTACTTAGCTGTGCTACTCCCTTTTATTGTATTGGCTTTTGAAAGCCAATAGGATAGACTCTCTTGAATAGAGTCTAATTCTATTGGCTTTCAAAAGCCAATAGGAATTGTCCAGGCTGTCTCTGCCCTGCTGAGCCCACCATTCTGCAAACGGTGCTGCACCAGTTGAGTAGTCCTCGACTTACGACCGGTTGAGTAGTCCTCGACTTACGACCGGTTGGGAGTCACGGCATTAAAAAGGTTGAGAACCACTGTTCTAGATGGAACCTCCACAGACTTTGATTGCTGCAGTCTATGAACCATCTTTTTAAGATGTTAACTAATGTTTTATCTTGATGTTTTTAGTAATATCATTGCAGATTAATTTAGTTGTCTAAGTAAAAGTAGTTATCCTTCTCTGTTACACCAAGTGGACAATAATCCTCAGTTGAAGCAGCTAATGCCTGATTTGTTTAGCCAATTCCCAGGACCAATTCTTTGCAGCCAAGTTAATCTGGAAGGTAACCTTTCTGCAGACTTTAGTGTGATGAATCAGCCTTCATTGTGATTCACCATTTAGTATTTGGTTCAAAGCATATTTTCAGGTTCTAAAGGCATGATAAATAATAATCTATATAGGATATACTAGAAGACATAAGAATTAAAATAGTGAAATCTTGAAAATCCTTCCCCCCCAACCCCAACTGATTTGGGTAAGATCTTTTTTCTAATCCAGTTTGGAAATATATGACATTCCACAAATTTCTCCCATAATCAAATCAAGTATCCCTGCCCTTTTGTTATTGGGACTTCTATTTTAGGAGATATAGCCAAGATGACTCATATTTTGTTGGGTATAGAATTTGAGAGTTAAAAGCCTGCTAGTGAATGGATGAGTTGGGAATCAAAGAAAAAAAAAGGCAAGCTGGGAAACAGCAATTCAGAAGAACAATCCTGTCTTTCATGATCTGGAAAGAAATTATGTCAAAACCTCTCAAATATTCTCTAAAAGATGGATCTTTTTATAATGTTGAATGAGTATTGGTAATACTAGAAACAAATTAATTCATCTCTGGATTTGTTAACATCACATGTGGAATAGCCAATCCACATGTGAGATTGCCTGAACAGTAAATCTTCAATTTTTATGCATATTTTTTCTTCCAAAGAGATACATGGTATAATCTTCAGTGATTTTATGGGAATAGGACAGGCAAACACTACCCCTGATTAGGATGACTTGGTGTGTTCTACTTAAGGAGAGTCTGAAGAACCTCTGCAAAGCCATTGTGAGATGTATATTCAACATCTATAGAATAAAGTTGCTTGGATTAATTTATCTAATTGTGTAAGAGGCAGTCTTGCCTCATTATCTCGGAAAAGTTTTAGCTTATTTGTCCCATGAAATGAATAAAGCCATCAAGGTCACATTTGTTCAGTCACATTTGCTTTAAATCAATGTCCCTTCTCTGGTTGGTTACCACCACATGGGAGATGATATATGGTTGGGCCTGTGTAATGGCTCTGAAAGAGGCAATAGTCCACACCTTCTCTTCAAGAAGCCATTGCTGAATCCAATAAATCTAGACATTGTCATGGAAGGATGTTGAGAAGGTAGTTCACATGAAATTCTAGAGGTCCCTGGAGGAAATGGATTATTTTTTCAGTTGGGTTTCAGACTGAAACTGTAGGAATCTGGATGGGAAAGAACAGTCTTCAGTTCACTCCTGGCAAGTCCAAATGGCTATATAGCTCTTGAGGCCTTTTGCATCTGGAGATTTTTCATTTCTTCCATTCCAACTCTGGATGAAGATGCACTCTCCCAAGCAGAACTGGTATGCAACTTGGGGGTCCTCCTGGACTTGTAGTTCCTGTTCAAAAGGGAGGTGTTAACTGTAGCCAAGAGGGCCTTTGCACAAATGTATCTTGTGCGCTTACCCACTTCTAGCCTGGAAAATCGAATTATGGTTACTCATTTTCTGTCACCTCCTGTCTGGACTACTATAATATAAATCACATGGGCTGCCCTTGAAGAATATTTGGAAGCTTCTGGTCAGGAAAAAAATAATAAACGATGAAGTCCAGGATATATGCCTTCTCTGTGACTGACCTATGGAACACCATTCCCCACAGAATACAGATAGTCTGTATTCCATAAGCCTTAAAGACCTGACATTTCTACCAAGTTTTGAGCCAGGATGTTAAATGAACCTGGTTTATATGATTTGCATGTTTTTGTGTTTATTCTTCTGTGAGTTTGATATTGTTGTAATGTGATGATAGTTATTTTTTCTTTGTGTCATTGTTAATATGTTAAATTGTTGCTAGTAATTTGAAATCATATGTAACATGAGCAACCATATAAGTATTTTAAATTAATTAAATCAATAAAAATAAAAATGCAAAGACCATTTTCTTTTTCTGCTTGATATGCATTTACCCTGTCCAGAGAGCAGGCAAGAGCAAATGGGCTAATGGTATTGTGTAGCAAACAAGTCTCTTTGATCTTTACCTTCATATACATTTGGCAGATGAAAAGTACCACCTTCAGTTTGGCTCTATGTTCACAGACCATAAGAACAAATGGGCAGAATGAGAAACCATCAGACATTAGAATGCACTAGATTTGCACCAGTAGCACAGATGGAAGTTATCTTAACTTCAAGTCAGCAGAATAAACTTTTAGTTCAGGGTTTCTGGAACTATATTTGCTTCAGTGATCATAAGATTTATTTCCATATATAGCAAATATGTCTAATTTTTCCCAAAATCAGTTTCTAGCATCTTGTATACCTTGAAGCTTAAATCAATTCTGCCATAAACAGAGCTGCTGCAGTAATGGCTGCTTGCTTAAGAAAGAAAAAGGGCTCCCTCTGGAGTGTACTCAGAGCTAATACTGAGCTGGGTTGAAGGACATCTTGAGGAAGGAAGGCATTTACTTGCTCCTCCTCCTGAACCATTGAAAGTTGGAGCTTTGCTGAGCTCTTGTCAAGCTTGCAAGGCTCAGGGCCTCCAAAACCCAGAGCAGTCCTATTTAGGCATGTATTCATGGCCATCAGGCAAATGCAAGATTCACAAAGGGAAAAAATTGCTATCAGAGACTTCAGGACAAAGAAAGCTACCAGAATATGCAACAGGGACTGAACCTCTAATTTTTGTCAGATATATATATTTAGAAACCTGGAAGAAGGTCTTGTTAGTTATACTGTCAGGCTACAAATTTCATTTGATATGGGAAGTAGTTGTGTCAAGAGTTAATAAGCTCATGCTTAATAAGGAACAAAAAAAGTTGCTGAGGAATAAAGATGATAGCAAAATGCGACTCTATGCTGCTCAATTTATTTGCATCCAACCCCATCATGACAAACGCAACAACCCAGTCGTTTCATGCAGAATCAAAGAAAAACGAGCATCAAGGCTGTTAACTTACTGCCTGTTTTTGTTCTTCTTCCTATAGAGAATTGTAATTGGAACATGAGAGAGAAAAAGAAAAAAAGAAAGGACAATTGTTATCTTGAAAATGCAAACACAGTTGAGTATTAGAGGGAACACCAATGTGACCTGAAGTCACAAGGATATAAAACACTGCCAGACCCTGTTTTTTTTCTTGTCAGTAGCTCACAACTGGAGGATTCATGGTCCCATGAAAACACAAGAGTTTGCCAGATAAGACGTTTATAAGAGAAGTCCACAAAACAAAGCATAAACACAACTAGTTGGTTTAATACCTTCTCCCCAGCAATTGTTATTCAAGGCATTTTTGTTTGATATCACAGGTAATATATAGTATAATATATAACAAGTTGACATTGACCACCTATCACCTACAAATATGAAGCTATCCACTTTCAAATTCCTTTCCAATCCTAATTCTAATGGTCCTGAACCTTGATCTGAATGAATGATAAAAGATCTTGTTGGTTCAGTAAAACATTCTCAAATTCTGTGAAACCTTTTATGCTCTTAATTCATTAGACAAATGCAAAATACCCAAATATTACTTTTAACTTTCATAATTAAACTATCCACCTCACTATCTTCATATGTGAAAAGAAACATATAAAGAAGTGCATTGTAACACTCCAAGTCCCTCACAGAAATGTATCCATATTCCAAGCCATCTGAGGGTTATAATTTAAATACTAAATCAAATAAGTATTTTTATAGATACAGTGGATCAGATTCAGATGTTAGGAACTAATATGTTCAGGAGTATGGAAGACAAAACTCGTGAGGAAATGCTGACAGAACATGCAAAAAAGATTGAATAGGGTCAGGACAGTAGTCTTCAAAGATCTGGTAGAAAAAGAAAATGATTTGCTGCCTGCTGTCCCAGAGGGCATGGCTGTATATAAGGGACTTAAATTATATTTCAATATATTTCAGATTTCAATAGTTTTTTCTGTCAATAACAGCAAACCATCAGTGAAATCAATTATGTAGTGTAGGGTAGAAAATCTCTCCCCCTAAAGTTGCATGCAGTTCTCGACCTAATTTCAAAAGCCCTCTGCAAGCAATTCGTTCAGGTCTCTTGCAAAACAATCTATCTCTCCCCAAGCAGTCCCACTGGAAGAGGCACAAGAAAAGATTATCTCATCTACATTTGGCCCTGATCCCAGCCACCCCTAGTATATTGCCCTTAACAGATTACACCAAGAGACTGTAGTCTTGGAGACAAAAAAACCCCAATCTTCCTTAAAGTTAGAGATATAGGACGAGTTCTTCCTCATAACAGCCTTTTAGCAGACGCTGGGATGATCTAGCTTTAGAGTTCCTGCATCACGTAGAAACCTGGACTTATTTTTTGGGGGGGTCGGGAAGAAGCAATTAAGAACGGGGAGAGGGAGACAACTGGAACAGGCAGTTTCAATTGATTTCTACCAACCAAAGACAAAATCTAGCACAAGAGCCATCTCAGATCTATGCTATTCCTATATGCTTTAGCAACCAAACTCATTCATCTCTCTATGCAGTAAATCCCAGATCCAGTCCTTCAAATGTCAAATAAAAAGAGTTCAATTGAAAAAGCATGCTCCAAGAAGTGAATTAAGAAGTTCACAACACAAATGGCCAATTAGCACTGCAGTTACTATTGGCCATAGGATGAGTGCAGACATGATGTACCTTGAGCAGTTTCATGAGTCCTTCCAGTTGTACCATCAGTTCCCTTCGGCTTTCCTGAAGAGCAGACATTCGTTGTTCCAATTCATCTTTCCTTTGCCTATTCAAGTTTAATAAAAGGATAATTTCATGAGTTTGTTATCTTGCTCTTTCTGTTCTGATTATCACTGCTTCTGTATTCAGTATCCTAAATTAATTTGGCAGAGGTTGGTTGATTACCGCAATAGCCTTAATTCAGCCAGTAAAGTTGGATTCTGCTGGGCTTTTTCAGGTGTTGGCTGGGAAGCCTGTTCGTGTTCTAGTCTGAGGCGCTGAATTTCTTGCAGTATTTCTCTAGAAAAATAAATGTGAAATTAGTTAAACACAATTCTTCTTTTTTGCTCAAATGCCGCGGATATGCTTTTTGGAGTTTGAAAGGGCCAGTTAATATCCCAAAGGTATCTTCCTATACATTAATAGAATCTGAACTGGTAGGGGCTGACAAGGAAAAGGGTGTTGGAATCCTGATTGACAGCTTAATAAAAAAGTCACTCTTATGTGCAGCTGTTATAAAAAAAGACTAATCTCATGGTTGAAACCATTAGGAAGGGAACTGGAAACAGAAATGTCTATACAATATTGTTATTATAGAAATCTATGGGCTGAGATTACATTTGCTGTATTGTGCTCAGTTCTGATCACTGCACCTTACAAAGAGTATTATAGTGTTATAAAATGTGCAAAAAGGGGCAACTAATGATTAGAAGAATGGCTCCCTACAGGGGGAGATTACAACACCTGGGGCTCTTTAGATTGGAAAAGAGAATAAAGGGATGTATAATACAGATACATATAATCTTGCACGGTTTAGATAACATGGAAGAGTTTTCCTTCTGTTATAGTCTTAAAACTCAAGATCATGTATTGAAAATAACTGCAAGACAAAAAAAAAGGTAATATTTTCTCACATAGCACACAATTAAATTGGAAAAACCAGAGCCAGCAACTGGGGGCAATAACAACCAAACTGAATAACTTTTAAAAGGAGCTGAATATCAGTTTATCAGTAACCATTAATATTGGCGACTGTTTCCTGCTCCCTAAAGAGGCAGTAGACATTATATATATATATATATATATATATATATATATATATATATATATATATATATATATATATATATATATATGTTTTCTGAGGTTTTCGTGGGTGTTTGTATGTAGGTCTTTGGTTGTTCGGGTTTTCTCCCGCGTAAAATTGGAAGTGTCTTGGCGACGTTTTGACGAAGTCCCATTCGTCATCTTCAGGCTGGTGCTTTCAGCTTCGTGCTCCTCGAATATATATGCTGCCCATCTCTCCCATAAGTGACAGTGACATTATACAGTGGTTGTTCTCAAACAGCCAGTATAAGAGGTCTTTTGATTCATTCCAGGCTTGTGAGCTTCTCAAATACAGTTAGTAGACCTTTGTGTGACACAGAATGTTGTAATAATAATAATAATAATAATAGTAATAGTAACGATGATGATGATGATGATGTTGGAAGGCCGGCAGCCTGATCCAGCAGGACTCTTTTGATGCTATATGTATCCCGTTACCATAGGAACTCAAACATTCTAAGGAACAAGTACATTTATCTAAGAAAGCTTATAGGAAAATGATCACTTTTTACAGCACAGATGTGCCATTAAGCATAAGATTATGTAGTGCTATAGAAAGATTATTTCTTAATACAAGAAAAACAGAAGGAAAATTAGATGTATGAACATTACAAGCTTGTGGGGTCTTGTTCTCTAAATGTTTTGTAAAACTATTTATGGTTGCAATGTTGCATTGAAAATGGTAAATTGACGGCTGGAAGTTGCACTTAATGTTTTAGGGAGGAATAGAACAAGTAACAGTGAGTAAGGAGATGAAAATACTAGATGAGGCAGTGATCCCATCATGCAAACGGGATAATCTAGGTTCCCCCCTCCCACAAGCTTTAGAGGCATAATTTTGCTATTGTTTTAATATGTTTAGTATATTATAAGGCATATTTAAAATATATAAAGCATATTTGTTTTAAGTTTTCCATCTAAAACAGATGTGTTAAACTGGCAGCCTGCGGGCTGGATGTATCACGTGCAGGTCACACCCTCCTCCGCAAAGGCAAAAAACGTCGCGATACGTCACAATATGTGATCGAGTTGGACACACCTGTGATCTAAAAAATGGAGCTGCCCAGAGTTGTGCTCTAAGATAGGTCGCCATACAAAACTTTTAAAGAAATAAATATAAATGGCTGAAATCATATCATCCAAGTGATTGATTTTGCACATGGCTTATCAGGAAACTTGTCCCACTGATTACAATTAGTATCTAGAAGTTTTTGGCTTGGACCCCAGGAAAAAACCACCAAGCCAGCTCTATCTCCCCAAAATATAGTCACCTTGAACCTGAGATAAGAAAGAAAGAAAGAAAGGAAGGAAGGAAGGAAGGAAGGAAGGAAGGAAGGAAGGAAGGAAGGAAGGAAGGAAGGAAGGAAGGAAGGAAGGAAGGAAGGAAAATCAGAACTATAGTAGTAAGTGAGAAGCTCAGCCAATTAGGTAGGGATGAAGAAAGTTTGCTTCCTTAAGAGCCCATAAAAGCTACTATTCACTCTCCCTCCCGCCCCAATATCTCACCTGTTCTTGTTTTCCAGTTCTGCTATCAGTTGCCTTTGCTGTTTGTTGGCATCAAAACTGAACCCCAGATCTATTGGTGGCCGTGTCTGGTGAAAAACAGGCAACATTTAAATAAGCTGACTCAACTCTAGAGACACACAGAGTTTAAGCTTTCATGGAAAACTCATGATAAAATTAAAAGAATTCAGAAAAAGTTGCTTGGTTCCATGCTCACATTGTTTTAGTGAGCAGTTTCTCAACATTTGGCAAGAATGGCAGGAAAAAAGTGTACAATGAGAAAAACTGAATGAAACACCTTGTTAGAAGAAATTGATATGGGGGGAGAACATGGGATAGTTGCCTTTGGGACTCTAAAGTCTTCTCCTGTTGAGAATACCCCATGATCCACGATTCAATAAACTTTCAATGCACTCTTCAGTTGTTTTGTTTTTACTGTTCTGAACTGGGATGAAGCTTTTTCCTACAGTGCCTGAATCTAAGGCAACATCAGTCCCAATTAAAAGAAGAGGATGCTTTTTTTGTAGAACTGACTAGAGTAACCTTAATCAGTTTCACGCTGTTTTTGTTGTCATAAATGTGAGCATTAGTAGGGAAATGTATTTTTATTACTGTTTATTACAGTCATTTTTGAAGAATGGTCACCAATTCTATTATTCCCTAAAGTGTATATAAGAAAAGAAGGGAGGACAAATTGTGCTCCATACAGGTAAAAAAGAACCAGAAATTAAAGATTCTTTCAATCCACAAAATATTTTACCTTCTTTTGAAAAGGTTCTTTTTTCTTGGCTATGATTAGAGAATCTTTAGAAAAAAACCTTTGAGTACACTTTGACCAAATATTCCAGCATGGCTTTCAAGTATACAAATCCTAGTTCCATAAAGGGTGAATTGGGCCATATCCAGTGCAACCTGATGATTTTAACCAGAGGCACCCCAGTATTAAATATTCTACCTGATACACTGTAAAAAGCTCAAAATAGTGAGGTGTTATCACATCTGTCCAGCCATATTCTAAGTCCCTATATTTAGCCAGCCAACTACAGCCAAGTATTAGAAAAGATTATTGTTGCTCTTCCTCATGTAACAAAACGTTTTTTACATCATTCTCCTCCCAATCACCTCAAGCAACAGCTATCATCTTCCTTAATGGCATCTCTACTGATCCATCAGTATTAAATTTCAAGGTTGTCTTGTTACACAATGGCAATGTACACCTTTCAGTACCTGTTGGCTAAGCTGCACACATGAAAGAAACATATGTAAACATGGAACTGTTGTTGAAGCACATAAAATACACCAAGTGCAACTGGAATAGTTGTGGAACTCTAAAAGTAGTGGTGCTGCTCCTTGGAATGCAACTCAGATATACAAAGTACTGTTATTGCATGTGTGAATGGAACAGCCATGCAAGAGAGTCGCATTATATTAAAAAGAAATGGCCACTCTGAAAGATAGGACAGAAAAATGTAGCACATGAACTATTTGTTGACCCAATAAAGATATTTGTGCCTCCACCTCACATAAAACTTTTGTGAAAGAAATGAACAAGGAAGGTGAAGGTTTTTGTTATATGAGACAGATGTTTCTAAGAATAATGGATGTCAAGATTCAGAAAGGCATTTTTGTTGGTCCACAGATCAGATACATCATCCATGACAAGCAGTTCAAAGATATGTTAATAGGGTCAGGGAAAATTGCTTGGAAAGTATTCAAGGGTGTTGTTGAGAATTTTCTTGGCAACTACAGAGCACTAAACTACATTCAGCTGATTGACAAATTTCTTACAGCATACAAGACCATAAAGCGCAATATATTACCAAAGATTCATTTTCTGCATTCACACTTGGACTTCTTTCCCAAAGATCTTCATGGAGTCAGTGACAATCATGATGAAAGGTTTCACCAGAACATTGTCACAATGGAAAAATAGTATGAGGACAACTGGAATCCATCAGTGCTCGCTGACTATTGTTGGACAATGCAGTGAGATGCATCAGACATTGAGTACAAACCAAAAACAAGCAGCAAAACACTTTTAGCTCTGTTGAGCTCATGCAATGTGTTGGAAACATGGGATTAAATACATTATAGTCATTAAAAGTTAATTTCTTAATTCTCAATATTCCTTTGTGATATAGTCATTCTGAAATTATATTTGCATTCAGTTTAAAGTGATCTATCCTAATCCCCAAAGGTTTTTCAGGAAACAAAACCTGGAAAAAAAATCCATCATTAGCAATTAAAAATTTACTAATAATCAATTAAAATGTGATTTTTGTGGAAACACCTGTCCTTCTCTCGTATCTTGATACAGAGATATGGGACATGGCATTTTCCATTTATATCTCTAGTTTACACAAGCAGTTGTTGCAAGCTGCATAGCAATAATTGAGCCGCTGATAAAAAATAGAAAGCATCCATCTTGCTGACTCACTGAAGGATACAGATTCTCAAGAGGTGAGAAGTGGCACTCATGTTCAAGAGCATACAGAGTCACATGCAAACACCTCCCATCTCCTCATCTCAGGACACACATTGCTCATGACACTCAAGGCAACTAAAAACATAAATCAGTTGGAAGATGACTTTGGATGGTACTATTTTTAAACTTGCCAGCAAGAGAATGTAAAAGAACAATAATACAGAATAACAGAGTTGGAAGTGACCTTAGAAGTCTTCTAGTCCAACCCCCTGTTCAAGCAGGAAACCTTATACTTAAAAACCTCCAATGTTTCAGTACCCACAAGTTCTGGAGGCAAATTATTCCACTGATTAATTGTATTGGTCAGAAATTTTCTCTTTTGTTCTAGAAAGGTTCTCTCCTTGATTAGTTTTCATCCATTGCTTCTTATCCTGCCTTCAGGTGCTTTGGAGAATAGGTTGATCTCTTCTTCTTTGTGGCAGTCCCTTAGATATTAGAACACTGCTAGTCCTAGTCCTTCTTTTCATTAAACTCAATTCTTGCAACCATTCTTCATATGTTTTAGCGTTCAATCCCCTAATCATCTCATTTCTCTCCTCTGCACTCTATCTAGAGTCTCAACATTTTTTATATCAGGATTCTGACATACTATGATTTTTAATAGTACCATTCTTGTTTATTTTTCATTATTTAAACTATGTGGACTTTCCCCTTTTTGAAAGTGTGTGTTTGTGTGTGTGTACATGTGCGCACGTGTCTGTGCATTTTACCCATGGAGAATTCTGCAGGCTCAATACCTAGCACTGGGTTATGATGAGGAAACAGAAAAATGGCCTTCATTATCTGATACAACAATGGAAGCACCATGCTAGAAAGCTATGCTACATATCTCAGCCTGATATTTCAGCCTGATCTGATTTCCCCCTGACAAATAGCATATCACAACACTGCTTATTGGAGTTCATGGAATCATAGGGCTGGAAGTGACCTTGGAGGTCTTCTAGTTCAATTTCCTGCTTAAGGCAGGAGTCCTTATACCATCCTGGACAAATGATTGTCCAATTTTTCCTTGAAAATCTCCAGCAATGGAGCACCCACAACTTTGGGAGGCAAGCTGTTCTGTTGATTAATCATTCTTACTATCAGGAAATTCATCCTTATGAATGAATCAGAGGCTTATTTTCCCTCTGATAAGCTTCCACCATTGCTTCTTGTCCTATCCTCAGACACTATGGTATATAGAGAACAAATCAACCCCCCCTTCCCCGTGACAACTCTTCAAGTACTGGAAGACTGCCATCCTGTTTCCCTTGAGCCTAAACATACCTAGTTCCCTTAGTAGTTCATTGTATGAGGAAGACCCCTTGTCATCTTTGTTGTTCTTCTCAGCACTCTTTCTAGGGCCTCAGCATTTTTTTATATCGTGGTGACCAGACCTGGATGCAGTATTCTAAATGTGGTCTCATTAGTGTAATATAGAGCAGCACTATTATTTCTTGCGATTTTGATGTGTCCCTCTATTGATGCAGCCTAGAATTGCATTGGTCTTTTTGGAAGCTGCAGCACACTACTCACTCATACTTAAGTGGGGATCCATCAGGACATGAGTTCTTCTTTGGGATCTATCCTATGCATTTGCGCTGTGGTACATCATCACAAAGAGACTGCAAGGATCCTACTACATGAATGTTATTTTTATATATCAATTCATTTTAATAAACACTGTGCAATACTAGCATGAGCCATTGCTTTGCTCATGAGACCCTACCCAAGAAAGATGACTTCAGATTTCCTAGTTTAGTGCTCTTCTCCTAATTTAGTTTTCTAAGGATTTGGGAACTTATCTCATGTCTGGGATCTCACGTTTGCACCTTGATTACCAAATAAAAGAAGATAAAAGCTCAGATTCCAAGAAATAAATTCAATTGCTCACCACATTTCCAGCTTCAGCAGCTAACCTGGCAGCATACCGAGCAATTAACCGATGCTCTTCATCCAGTCTGCTAGGACTGTCCAGGACACTACTAAAGGAAAGAGATCTCACATTTACCAATTGATACTTGCCATTCTAGAATATCAAATCACACCAGGAATCTAAATGATTGTCCAATGTGGTACAGAATTAAATCAGTATATCTTGGGAATGCATTCTCAAGCTTCATTCATGAGCCAATCATGCCCAATTTCATTTCTGCATCAAAAAGTTATAATTCATGGGAATTCTATAATTATGGCTTCTAACTGCATTTTGTTGAAAAGTGTATGTAGAACTGCAACATATTTTCCATACAGTATTTCTGGGGAGTACTGCATTCATGTAGGCAAGCTCACCCTTGTCATTTACTAGCCTCACTATTTCCAATATCAATTTTTTAAATTTAAGCATGGGTTTTTAAAAAACAGGTGAAAGATGTTTTAATATGAAATAGTAGAAAAAATAACATTGCACTGACTTTGTGTCACAGCATATTGATTGGGTGATTGGCCCATATGCTCAGAACATGAATGCACGTATCAAAGCCATATTTCTTCAAAAGGGTAGTAGAATAACATTAATAGAAATTTCATTTATAGAGTTTCTGCTATGAACCCATTATGTCCCCTAAAAAGGAAATATGGGGGGGAGGGGAAACAAAAGAATAACATATGATGACAAAGTCATATGAATGGCTTGGAAAGACAACATGAGAAAAAAAATCATATCCAAAGTGAAGCCCTTGTATTTTAACAGGCAGAAGCATCTTATACTTTGGTTTTCAAGGACATTAAACGTTATCAAATACTTTGGTATGCCAAAATCCGGTCAATGTGAATGGGATTTTTATGGCTGGAGAACATTAAAAATGACTACTGCTTCTAGTGAAGTTTTCATTGTGCAATTCTTCATTGCAGCCTCAAGCCTTTAAGACAAGAAAGACAGAATAACTGCAGGTTACCACCGGACTGGTAGTAAGAGGGTAGCTATTTATCACATCAGGTGCCAAAGCAAGAAATTTCCTGCAGTCTTCTTCCTCAGATGGGTCCCAAAACAAGACAATTCTTTTCTCTATTGCTAATGGTTGCTAGGGCTGCTACGAAAACACTAATCTTTAAGAGGAATTAAATCAGAAATCTGATTAAAAGCTGCAATATGAACAGGCTTTTTTCCCCCTAGTATTTTACCCCAAGTGCAGAATATGGGGTTTTTTTTTTAATTGATCCATTGGTTGTGACAGGACTTGACTTACCAGTTTGATGGCCGCCCTAGCCTAACATTGTGGGTTGAGAGAGAGTGACTAGGCAAAGTCATCCAGCTGGCTTGCATGCCTAATGTGGGACTAGAATTCACAGTCTCCTGGTTTCCAGCTTGGTGCCTTATTCACTAGCCCTAATTGGTTTTTGTAATATGAACAGGCTGTACCATGACAAACCTGATCACATTGACAGATAGAGTTGCTTATATCAGAACAATGCCATGCCATGTATCAAAAAAGTTTTATCATTAAAATGAAAACTTTTTAATGTCTCAATGAGCTAAAAGTAAACCCAGATCCTTTTAAGCTGAAGTCACAACAACCTATTTATTTAATTATTGTTGTTTTATTCTGTTTTTTTTTCTTTTGAAGGAAACCTGTTTATGGTGCTCCCACATTTTATGGCAGATACATGTGGGCACATTTGAAATATTGGGCGTTAACTTTCCTAAAATGGAAGCTATCAGGGAAGTACAAGTTACAAGGCATTCATTCACGAAAAGTCAAATACTGAAATTACCTTCCACAATCTCTTCTATTACCCTCCCGTATTCTCTACTTTTAAGAATGACTATAGAGGCCAGATACATACTTATAAATATGTTAGAAATTGGCCCCACTGATTTTCAAAATGGCAACTCCCCATTTTAAAACTATTTTTCAAATATACAGTAACACAAACAACATAACCCATTTTGGAAGGAAGATTGGACACCACTTTGCAAATCATAGCTTTATAGGACAATTTAATTAGTGCCCCTTCTAGAAATGATCTCACTCAGAGGATCAAAAGGTGCTGGGAGATATCGCATTGCCTATTTTGGCTTACTGGTTTTGTCTGTGGGAAGAAATTATTTTCCTTATACTATTCTTTTTAAAAAGCTGTTTGGCAGCATAAGGCAACCCAACTCCATTTTTTTATCTCAAAGCATCAGGCATCTAGCACGAATGAGCAAAATCAGTATGGTATAATATAGATGTGCACTGTTCTAGTTTATCACTGGTATATTCATCCCAGGGCTACCTTTAAAGAAATCAAGAATAATATCTGAAATTCAGGAACTTAGAAAAGACCTGGGATTACTTCTAGATAAAACTGCTAGAACTATCCATTGGAACACATTCTCATGAATTACTCAGCTTGAACAGTAGGAATCATGATTCTCCCTATAACAACTCAGTAGTTCATCGTTTGGAGCTTAGAAGAAAACATTATTCATGCTTCCCCACATTTAGGGGTTTTTAAGAAATTAAAATATTTCATAGTTGTTACCGTACATTTCATGCCCAACACCATTTATTTGCTTGAACCATCGCAAGAAGCCCAGTTAAAACTCCTCATTTTGATATTTGTTCCAAATTTCCATCAAATTGTTACAAACAGAATCTCCTTCAAAGCAATCTTGTTTGAAATCCAATGAGTGCATCCACAAACATCTCATTTTTAAATTGGCTCTTTTTTCTTCATAACATTTAGTCACAGATTTAGAAAAAAAAACCACATTTTTTTAAAATCAATAATCTATTTTCAAGCAAATATAGATAAAATAAAAATGATTAATCACAGACCTTCCTAACACTTGTTTTAGTGGATGGGCGCTGGGCCAACCCAGCTGCCTATATAGGGCATCCAACAAAGTTATGAAAGGAAAAGAATAATTACCCTATGTACCCCACACCCGTTCCACACAATCTGCTTGCCTAGCACTAACCGTGTGCTGCTTTGTAGCTGGCTCACATAGGCTGCTATCAGCACATGCTCATCACTGAGCCCATCGGAGGGGGCGAGGCTTTGCTGCAACCTAGGGATATTGAAAGCAAAGGAAGCAAAACTCAACAGAAATGAAGATGAAGCAATGAAATAATGTAAATTATTTGAGGAATATAACATGATTAAAAATAATAGTTAACATATGTAAACGTTAGAAGGCAGTAGGGGAGACGGACTTAAATAGGCAGCAGTCTCTTGTTAGAAGTAAGGGATCAACAAGACATGAAGAATGAGGTAGCCTGTCATCATATTCTTTTTCTCTCCACTTCTGAAACTGCATTATTAATTTGGAGTCTGCAATTCTGACGGGAAACTAGCAGCATCATTTCTAGAAAACAGAATATAACATGGTTCTAATTCATGGGAGAGCAAGGATGTTTATTACTTGGCAAACCCCAACTATAACCACTCTCTTGTACTTTGTTTATGTGCATTATTAGCAGGTGCATTGTTCTAACAGACATACAATTAAATGATGCCCAGTTAAAACATTTTTCTTTGATAATCCTACATATTCAAATCCATATTTTGGTGTTTTTAGAGGACTATGTCATTAGGCTGAGGCATCAGATTGGCTTCCATGGTCTACCTCAAATCCTTGTCCTTTCTATAATCGATTACCTAGCTCCTTAAAAAAAAGGTCCCATTTCAACTGTAAGATAGAATATAATTCACTATTTCCATCTGGCCTCTAAAATAGAGCATAGCATGAGCAGAAAGTGGTAGAGGATGTCCATTAATGTAAGTAAGGACTCGTTAGACAAAGGATGCCTTTGATAGACAGGGCCTGCTTCCCATATATTTCCTTTTGTACAATATAAAAGAAGGCTTAATATAAGGCGGGGTGGGGGAAGAGAGGAACATAGATAGCTCATTTGTGGTCTCAGAAAAAGCAGAGGAAATTCAATTCAGTTGAGTCCTTGGAAAACTTATCAGACATGAGGTAAACACTTTTTGGATATCCTAAAACCAAAGCACAAAGCACACGCGCGCACACACACACACACACACAAACACAGAGGGGGGAAAAACAAGAAATGCAAGGTGAGGAAAACCATTTTGGACATTTTACATTTCATTAGTTTGTAAATGTAAGATGATTAATGTATATTATGGATATTCTACTTTACTGTGCCATCTTTTCAGAGGTTGATGTACTATATATGAATGTAGCGTCATCTTGGATATTCAAGCTAAACGTCTTAAAAAGTGCATAAAGTTATTTTTAGGGACATTTTGAACTTTAAAAATCTAATATTTCCTATTACAAAACAACAACTAGGAGACTCCTTTTCTTTCTCTAAGATATGAATTATATTTATATAGGTATTTTGTTTTTGAGATGACTTCATCTTGCTATGCCTAGGAGTCAGCTTGCCAGAGCTGAGTAAATTGTCCTGAAGAAGTCAGAACTCATTTTATACAACAAGGTTAGGCAGTTTCTACAGAAATAAAGTTTAGTGGTTAATTGGGGACACTAAATAATGTTACTAAATAATTCAAGTTGCCCTACTTCACTAATCTGAAAAGGGCTTGATTGGGTTCATGACATTTTGCTGGATTACTTTATTATGCTCCATGCTGTTGTTCAATAAATCTGTTTCTTAATTGATTTCTTTTTGTCCAGATTGTGAAAAAGTATTCATTGTCACAAATTCATTCTTTTGTAAGAAAAATGCCGCTAGCAACAGTGGAAGGGACTTAATTGTCTGTACTACAGAAAGGCAATAAACTGGAACATTCAGGGCAACTTCCATATTCAGGAAAGCTTATGAAATTGATTTTTTCTCTTAAACAGGTAGAGAGGTATCTGCAGTAACTGCTTACTTGGCTATTATCTATTAATCTCCTAGTTTTACAGCTGTTCTCCTTCTCCTAATAATCTATGATGTAATGAAATTGGCTGAAGAAAATATTAATTGCTGAGCATTCACCATCACAAGGCAGAATGGGGCTGTGCAGCTCATGGCCCCTGCTGAAAATCAGATCTTTTTTCCAATTTGGAGCAACTGACCTTTTCCAATAACATTTATGGCCTAAGAATATTTACAATGCTCTCCTCTGACCCCACATCTTGCTTTAATGTCATTACACTTTCCAGCTGGCTCGCTTGTGCAGGTTTATGAGCTTGCCATAAAGTTGAGCTTAGTGGCAATGAAAACCATTCTTTGTAATAAACTAAGAGGCCCTCCACAAGATCTAGATAGCACCGTATTGGAAGGCAAGGAATTTAGCTTCCTTCTTGGATAATGCAAAAGAGGCAGACACCCTGATGAATGTCTGGCAATATTTTCAAAGTAATATGGCTCTTTGTCTCTTTGGAAATGAAGAGAAGATTCTCTCTTTGCAGTGAAAGTAGTTACCCTTCACTTAAGGCGAGAAGCTCAAGACAAGGGTCCTTCTGCATAGAAATACAATTCTCTTCAAGGAGTTTTCCATTGGGTAAAATCTGAGAAAATTTTACTAATAAAGGGTGATTTCACTTACTATTTGCTAACATGATTTTGGTACTGCTCTTTTTAATTCTTAAAACATTTTTCTTCTATTGTTATCTGCTCTAACATACACTGGAATGGAGAGCAGAACAAATGTTTATAAAATTATTGGAAGTGTATATGTTAGCATGATTTACACTGATAAACTCCTGCACATATGAGCCATGTCACGTCAATGCCTCAAACTGGAACATTATTTGCCTCACCTTTCAAACAGAAGTCCCACATCTTTGAATTAAAGATTATAGTCCATAATAATACAAATAGGCCACTCATCTTGAGGGTAAAAGAAATCCGTAGCCCTGATCTACTGAAGTTGTCATTTATATTAGTGTTTCATTTTCTGAATTGCTCCTGAAAATGTCTTTAAATGTGAGATATGCACTACAGACTTTGCTAAAGTAATACAAAATGGTAGATACTTAATCATATTCACATATTAATTTTCCTGCAAGGAGTTCAAAAATGTTCTTAGGTTCAGTTATTTTCATACCAATCCTGTGAGGTAGATTAAGCTGACAATGTATATCATTTGAAGAAACACAAAAGAAAGTCTTGTGGCTTCTTAAAAATTGTCAATTTATTTTGACAGAACATCTCACAGACGATAATAGGTTTTAGCAGACACAAATCCCATTTTCAGAAGTCAGATTAACCTTCCAGATGATTTGAAAAACAAGAATAAATTTAAATATTCTACCTCTGTTCAGAAACTTTTAATTTTCAGCTGAAAAATATGCAATAAGTATAAAGCTAAAATTACAGTGAGGGAGAATGAGAATATAGACAATAAAAACAGGGTAGGTACACAGTGTACCTTTCTTGTTCACTGAAAATTAAATTCTGGTTCACTGAATAACTGGACAGATAAAAGCATTTAATATTCAATTAAACTGGTTCAGACAGGCCTCTCTAAGAAAGGTATTCCTTAACTATTTCTAACATGGACAAAGCTCCATTGTCTTTGTTCACATCAGCGTTGAAGGCTAAAAAGAGCCTCCATAGCAGAACTTAAAAGACCAGCAATTTCATATGGAAGCATATTGTTTTTAGATACTCTTATCTAGTTAACAACTGAGTGATTAAGTGATGAGTCTCTAATCTAGGTCTCTTGTATCTAATTCCAATTTGCTTGATTCAAAGTCATATGACAAAACCATATGGAGTTTAAATGGTTTTAGCATTTAAGTATAAGTAGGAAAAAAATATGGATCCATAAAAGTTTTCAGCTAAGGGAAATGTTAAAAGAGACATGTATACAAAATGAAAGATGGGTGTAATCCTGAAGGAAATGTACTTATAAGAGGCTGGTATCTATAGAAAGTAAGTTACAAAGGTTAAAAAGCACAAAAGGAAGTGTGTCTTGTAAAGGAAATTAGAAATAACAAAAAAAAGGCTTTTTTTGACTATGCCAATAATAATTTAAAAAAACCAAGAGGTGAGCTTGTTGTCAGGAGATAATGACAGTAACATGGAAAAGAAGTGAGCTCTTCAGAGTAGAACTGTGTCCAAATGACTTAAGTAGAACAATTGACAAAAGAAGGAAAATAAGGAACAGGTACAAGTACAAGTTGTCCTTTTATGAAGGACACTGACAACTAGAGTTCTCCAAAGGAGAGCAACTAAGATGTAAGGAGGCTAGAAGAAAAAACCTATAAAGTATGGTTGGCATTGTTGGGTATGTTTAGCCTGGAAAAGATTTTGGGGAGACATGACAGTTATCTACACATATCTGAATGGTTGTCATGGAAAAAGTAAGAAAAAATATTACCCAGAGTCGTTCCAGAAAATAGGGAAAGAAATATTACACTCAAATTACAAGGAAATAAATTTTGGTTGAACATCAGGAAAAAAACCCTAAAAATAAGATCCAATCAGCCTGGTAGGTGGTGGACTTTTCTTTGTTGGAGGTATACAAGCAGAAGCTGCATAGCTATCTTCTAGGGATGCTATGGAAATGGATCCCTGCATGGTGATCTCCAGGTATCCATTCAACAATGATTCCATAAGTTCCATAATGTAAATTCCTTCTGGCAAAGGTGTTTGGACTTATTGCTCTTGGATTGGTCACAGATGGCATCTTCCATCAGTGAAATTTCTTTTCAAGATGGGCAAAGCCAACATTTTCCCCACCACTTTAGTTAACATTCTTTATAAAAAAATCAATAAAATAAAAAATAAAATAAACAATACCACCTACAGCTTGCACAACTGTATGCTACTTCGTCTGCAAAACTGTAGCTTTCAGTTTTTTAAACAAATAATCATTCAGACAAGAAATAAGAATGGCTATTGCAAGGATCTGTGATAAATAACCAAATTCAGTTTAGGCAGGGATGTCAACTGCCGGCTGAAAGGCCGGAAGTGTCACATGGAAGCTGTGTCTAACCTAGCTCCGGCGAGGGGAAAAAAGTCGTGATATGTCACAACACGTTATGTGATGCGGTGAGCTTGACAACCCTGCTTTAGAGGATTTGATCTATTACTTCCATTCATTTCTCAAGCTTCTAGGGTCTATAAAAATTTTGAGCCATTTTGAACTACAAAGCTCTTCCCTAAGTGAATAATAGCAATTCAGGTTATAGCTACATGGAAAGGCATGCCTGTGGCAACACTGTAGTTAAACTAACATTTAACTGAGTTAAACAAGGAACATTTCCAACTACCCTAAACCAGGAAGTTCATGGAACCAGAAATATGATAGTTGTTTAACCAATTGCAAACATGGTTATAGGGCTGCCAAATTAAATGTATATGGAAGTATATTCATTTAGAATACAATCCTATTTGATTTCAAGAGGAAGCCTCCTTAAAATGAGTGGCTTGGGAAAAAGAAAGCTATAAGAAAAAAGGGGACAAATACTGTACATTCCAAACACTTTGGAAAAGCACAACAGAACTTGAACTGGAATGCCAATTGCAGGTTAAAAATATACCTCTCAAATAAAGCTTTAAATATCTTTTTAAAAAATTTCACCATGCTAGCTATTGTATGAATGTATGTATTTATTCCGGAATCTTAAAACACATATGTGTTAGTATAAAGCTGTAATGCATAATCTGATAATTTTCAATAGTAATGGAAATAGGATAATAATAAGGTTTCTGTTAGCAATTCAAATATTCTCAATATACTTTTTTTAAAAAAAATTAGATACTTATTTTTTTGAAATCAAGAGTTAACAGGATGGTTTTGATAGTCCTGAAATAGAATTGGGCACCTGAACAATAAAACTGATTTCAAACTTCCTGAAGTAGAAGTCTGTTTAGAAGTCTGTAATTGTTAGTTCATTGGATATATTCTTCTGATGCACATTGGCATTAAAGATCCTAAAAAGATTTCTGCAGAACAAATATGCAATTTTTTTTGCATATATGAATCAAATGGTGCATTATGTATTTTAAATCTCAGTAACTCCATTGTCTTTCTCAGTGTGAAATCTCTGTCTATGCAGCACACTGTAGATTGAATCCTTGTACAGTATATCATATGAAAGGTGGACATATCGTGCATTGTCCTGTTTCTTCTTTTTTTCACAAATCATATGACCACTATCAAATGGTTCCTATTTCCTCATGCAGTAACAAATCCAGAGGCAGCAAGATAAAGTTTTGGTTCCTTTGAAGGAGAGCTTGCTCAAGACTGTAATTTCTGCTTTATTTACACTAACTCAAGCAGGTCATGATGCAAGCAAAATAAACTCCTGTGTTAGTCAGCAAAATCACTGAAACTACATTTGATTCCTACAAAAACTGAAGGTCCTCCGAATTTCCTATAATTTCCTAGAATCTTTTTTTTGCCTCTGAATCTAAAAAAATACAGATGGCTTTTCTTTTCTTACTACTAGAAAGGCTGGAAAGAGATTCTGAATCATTAAGAAACATTTGTCATTCTAAATGACAAACATTTTCATAAGTCAGCTAAACTCACAATATCTTCAAATCACACAGGATTTAGCTGCATTCTTGATTCACAACCAAGTCCAGGCATATTAGGCTAAGAGAAGAGAGAAAATACGACAAATTCAAGAAGATTTGTATTAGAAATCATGGGATGCTTTGATTGATTTAGCTATTGGAAGCTATGAAGTTATCAACTACATTTCAGCTTTAACACAGTAGAGAGATCTGAAAGCTATTAGTAGGAAAAAGCTGACTTTTCTATTTATGCAGGATTTTTTTAAATCTCAAATTTTTTATTTTTAAAGTTACAAGTCTCTAACAAATTAGCTCAACAGGTTCTTAAGCCTTGACATATTTTGCATTGGTTTTGTATGTTAACATATAGTATATAGTAATATAATTGGTTAGTATGGACACATTGCATTATGGTAGCACTATGTACAAGCTAGTTAACTATGGCTTACCTAAAAAAAATGAAAAAAACCCTCTGGTTTAGAATTATGTGTAAAAAGAGCCATTGTTTTGTTTGGCATGGAAAATTACATTCTGAATTCATACTAACCACATGATTCCTAAATGCAAGCACTTAGCTTCCTGGCTAGATTTACTATTTACTAGAAATACTTTGCCATTGCATTAATTCCTGATTTTTTTTTTCAACTTCCTAGTCTAGTAGAAAACCTAGGATTTCCTAATATTCTTTTGTTTAAACACCAGTCTGGTCAGTCTCTTAGCTCTCTTAGTTTTGGGTTTAGTATGCTTTTTAATAATATTTTAATTTGTGTAATTTTAATGTTTTCATATTTTAATTTGTTTACTGTTTTATCACTTGTAAGCTGCCCAGAGTCACCTTGTAGGGGAGATGGGCAGCATAAAAAAAATAAAACAAATAAATCTGGTCCAACCCTTCTTAACCTTTTCAAGACCAGTCAAGGTTGACTAGTTACTGTAGTCTTCTATTATGTGTTTTTGTGCATAGATCAAATCATGTATCTTCTGTAAATGCAGTTGTTTCCACAATGGAAAGTGTTGAGTATTATAATCAATGCTGAGATATAATTTTGAAATGTTCAGTACTGTGTGTGACAAACAAACCCAGATACAGTCTTCAGAAGCCCACCTGGGAACATTGTGGCATATAATTTCTGGGTTCAATTCAAGAAAATGATGATCCCCTTTAAAGGCCTACATGGTCTGGATCCTGGCTACCTTTGAAATAGCTCACACCAAACAAGATCTACTTGCCTAACACATGCCTTTAGAGTTGCTGATTGTTTCATTCTTCGGGAGATGTTAAGAGAGGGAACTTAAGAGAGGAGAATTCTTTGTGGAAGGGCTCCTCCTATCGAATGGCCTCCCAACAGATAGAAGAACCATGTTCTCACTCCCTCACATTCAGGAAGTTTTAAAAAACATGGCTTTTGGAGACCAAACTGAGGGCGGACAGAGACACTAGAGTATGTGATGAGTTTTGATTATATATGGCACTATTGTTTTATGAATAGATAATTATGTTTGCTGGACATTTTGATATTTTTTATCACTGTATTGTTTGTGTGTTCTTGCCTGTAAGCCACAGAGTCAAATGACTGAAGTGACCTGAAAATTCACCAAAATCCTATTGGGAGATTAATGTGCTTTTCATGTGCATCCAGAAAGCCATGAGAATAGGGGCCATCCATGCATCAAGGAGCAAGCTCTTTCAGAAGTAGGGAGCTGCTTCAGGAAACACCCACCACCAGGCCCCTTTATCCTGGTTGTTGGAGGTTCTTAGCAGATACTCATGTTAAGCAGGACCGAATTGAAAATGGCAGTGTTTATCCCTTCAACCCCTAGGAAGTGGCAGAAATTAATGCAGCTCATGCTATCTAACTCTAATATATAAGAATTGTTATAGTCCTTTAGGTCTAATTACAGTAGCAAGTCTACCCGGGCAAATTAAGAAACAAGTGATATTTACCCTATACAGTATAAACTTTTAAAATTAAATTTATATAAGAGGAAATAAAAAAGAAATACATTATTTACACAAATAGGAACAAAAAAAACCTCTTTATAGTAATCATTAAATATAAATAAAAAGCTGTCCAGAGTTGCCCTATGGTAAGATGGGTGGCCAATAAATTTTAACAGTAAATAATATATGGAATTTAAAAAGAAGGTACAACTGAACTTTGCTCACAAGAAGAAGGAAAGGTCTCTAATACACAATAGATGTATTACGCAAAAGATTGTGTCAGAGACAAAAATTGTCAAAAATATTTTTCTCCTTTTCATTTGGATGCCCTTTCAGGAAGCAGCAGGTGAACATTCACTTAAGGTGGTTTTCTTAAATCAAGTAGATAAAATTTTGATTTTTCAATTATGAGAGCATACAGATCTCATGGCTGGTAAGCAGTAACACCTTCTCAGCATAGATGAGCAAAAGATCCCCTCCCCCATACACATGCGCGCACACACACACACACACACACTCTTGCTGAAGAAGTGTCCATAGTCTCTATAGTTATTTTTGTAAAGTGAACATATTTTAGTTCAGTTTAAGAACTCTAAGGGCAATGCGGTAATATTAATAAAGGCCTTGTAATATGGCAAATAGAGTCAGGGAGGAGTAAAGAGAACTTTCTGCTTGCAGGAAGCTCCACTTTTTCTTCCTTCAAGACCTCACTCTTTCATGTTAAAAAATTCTTACTTATGTACATTTAAGGGCTAGGTGGGGGTGGAACCATTCAAGTGTCAAAACAAAGCTTTATTCCACAGTCAGCATTTCCACATGCAGTAGCAAGCCCAAAGGAAGAGACTTAGTGTTTCAAAAATGGCTTTAGAATATACCAAAAAACTCAAATACGAGGACAATTGTAGATCTTACATCATTATTTTTGTAATCCAGAGGCAAATACCTGAGCTGAGTGCAGCAATTCCCCAAAATGCAGATACCTCAAAGAGAAGACCTACAGCACCCACTCATCTCCAAGTATTCCTACCTTTTTGTTGGTGTGGGGGCTCCGGAGGACATATGGGTAACCATGGCATCATTCATGTTAACGAGAGGTCGAGAAGGGCTGAAATAGACAATGTTTGTTGGATGTTAGGCTACTGGAAGACAGAATAAGGGGAAAGTGCTTACTAGTGGTTACTGAAATGGCTTCTTTACCTATTCTGCTGTAAAAGCAAGAACTGCTGATATAGGAACCCTGCCTGGTTGTTGCCATGCTTTTTCATCAGTTTCATCATTTCCAGACAAAGAAAGGCATTCATGTCACAGGCATTATAGAACTTGTGGTAAATGGCATAGAACTCTTGGGGGAAGGTGAAATATAAACAATTTAAAGTACACAAAACACCTCACCTTTGCATCTCAGATGCAGGCAAAATAGGAAACTTACCCGAGAAGGCTCTACTTCCTTATGGGATTTTCCAGGCCCTAGTAGGTATCATAAGGAACTTCTGCTTTCAGAAATCAAGGCCATGAAAGTATGGAAGGAATTCACCCTGGCTCAGAAGAGTTATGCAATTGCAAAAATGTTTATGACCAAAAAAAAAAAAAAAAAAAAAAAAACCCAACAACAACATCCAACCCCAACACCACCACTACCACCACCACAACCCTAGGTCTCCTTACAAGTAAAATCACAATTTTGCATGCTCGCTTCTATATCTTTTGACATACCAAGTTCTGAACAAAAACAAGTCCTTTAGACTTTCTAATATTATCACAAGATTAATTGACAGATGCACCACTCTCTTTTTCAATAAAGATCTTGGAACGTGTCTGAAGTTATGTGGGGTTTGGAAGAGTCTTCCAATTACAGAACCAAAGAATGTGGTTTTTTTTTTTGCAGCAGGTCAACAATTAATCTCTTTTCCCTCCACATTGCAACCAGGAATGCAAGGAATGTATGAAGAAGTGAAATTCAAGCATTAGATTGCTCTTCTAAAAAGTAATTATTTCTCAGATCTATTCTATCTATTAAAGGCTCATGTCAAATTGCTTGCACCCAAAATTAGAGGTCAGATTTAGAAGCCTCAGTTGTCTCTAAGACTAGCATGCCTTCCAGAAGTCCAAGATGTAAAATACAGTATTATTGTCTCTTCAGCAATCTCAAATCATCTATCAAGCTACAATCAGTTCAACCACTTATAAACTGTATACCATCTACTTTCACTATAATGGATTTTGATTAAGAAACAAGAACAATGTCATTGTAAATGTGTGCATTAGAAATTAATGAGGGCAGATTTTCTGTCTTATGGAAATGTACTTTGTTTTCTGCTGGAATTAAGAATTCCAAAATGAATTAAAAAACAACAGAAGTTTGTTGCAAAATCATCAGCTGACTTGAGTTCTCAGTACTTCCACATAAATATTTCCTGCTGATTAGATAGAATTATAGACTTGGAAGGGCCATTTAGGCAACTGAGTTCAACTCTCTGCTCACCACAGGTATAGAAATTGGAATATCTCTGATAGATAGTTCAGCCTTTTCTTGAATATATCTTGCAAAGAGAAGTCCACTACTTTAATAATTGTTTACTTTTATTCTTAATATTTTTCCGTTAACATTTCATTAGAATCTGCTTAGTGTAAGTTAAAGCCTGAAATAAGGGAAGGCAAAGGCTAACAAGTTGAATAGATCCTACCATACATCGAAACATTTGTACAATTACTTGAAACAATAAAATAATTTAAAATATAGTCTGCATGCTTCTAACAAAAAAAATGTGCATGAGAAAATAATCTATCCTTTAGATCACGTGTCTTCTAGCTGCTTTATGAGTTATTCTGCTACATAATTAAGGACTTTTCATGTAGAAAGTTTGGTTTCCTGTAGGCATGAAAGAACAATAGTGAGAATAGCCAATACTGCTTTCTTTGTTTCCTTCAAATGCTAATTTATGTTGCTCTTTTTCTTAAGCATCTGATTTATAATATTCTACAGTGAATTATCACAAAGCCATTCCAGATTCATACATCTCCATGACTTTCAGACTTTTGATCCCTGCTAACTCTCGATAAGAAGGGAAATAAATTTAAAAATGAATATGTCAAAAAGAAAGGGATTTCATTGCCAGCACATACTAGACAATTAGCCTTCTACTCTTATTGTCTCACTAAGCTTTTCCTTTATTTAATTCAGTTGATTAATGATTTGATTCCTTTTACCCATTCTGTTGTAAAAGTGTGGCCAATCACTGCTTTCTAACAACAAATTAAAAACAATGATATTTGCACAATCAGCATCTAGTTACAGCACTATTCAGCACCATTTAGAGGAGTAAATGAATTTATCTTTTAAAGACAAAAGGTCAGCAACACAAGCAATCTTCTGGAAGTCTCCTGTTAACCCACCTGTGGTGAGTCTCCACTTAATAGCAATAAGGGCCCCATTCAGAAACCCCAAGCAGATAAGGCAGAATTGCCATCCTACAAGATTTTAATTCTAACTCATAAACGCCAGCCTAGTACAAAAGCTGACATTGCTGTAATTGCCTAATAAAGCAAACAAAGCAGTCTGGAAACATGTGGGTTATTATAAAGCAAACCATTCATAAACTTGCTTTTGCTCTTGCAGAGATAAGTTCATACACTTTTAACTGTAGAATACTCTCTCTATACAGGAATACACACACAAACAGCCTACTTCCTAGAGTTGAGATTGATTGGCTCAAGGTCAGTCAGCTGGCTTTGTGCCTACAGCAAGAACTCAGTCATTTAGATTCTAGCCTGGTAGACTATTACACCAAACTGGCTCTGAATGGGCATAAAGAAGAGCCCAAAAACGTCATCTTCACCCACCTCATGCATTCTGAGGTGTTCAGCAGAGCCCCATTCAAACTGCCTGTCACCAAGATCATTTAGGTCACTGAGTTGGAAAGTTCTGCATCTATTAAATTAGCTTCTGCTGGCAGTTAATCAGGCCCATTTTTGTGGGCCTTCAGAAAAACCCGAGTGATGGTTTTATAGGCTTTTTCTTGAATTACATTTTGGATGCTATTATTCATGATTGTTGACCTTACTGGTTGTTCTAGTGCTTGATATACTATTTTTTTTATATTAAGTTTGCCACCTCAGAAAGATTCCATCCTAAAAATACATTTACATGTGTAGACTTGCAGGAAAAGGTTGAAATAGTTGTGTTTAAAAGATAATGCAAGAGTCAAAGATATTCCATTTCTTATTAAAGAAGCTTGAAAAGAAAAAGTACTAATATATGAAGGCTATGTACACAGAATGAAATGTTTGAGGCTATGTTGCCTTCTAGCTTTTTTAAAGCAACAGAAATTGAATTTTTCCTTCAACTCAAGCTATTTTCATCAACAATGTCAGAATGAAAGTGAAAAGATGACCCAAACACTGAAAGTTAATGGTTTGTTGATTACATGTGAGCTGGAATGGATTCTGAATGCAGTTTGCAGAAGGTCCTAAGAGCTTTCCAGAACCAGCAGAAGAAAAGTCACTTTGTACTATATCTGGCATCAAAAGATTTAGGTTGGAATATAGGGCTATTGCTTTTACACAATCATTCTCTGTGTAAAAATCACAATCTTAAAATACACATGAGATCACCAGGAGTTGAGTTCAACTTGAAGAAAGTTTTTTAGAGCCAAAGTTGCTGGAAAAAAATCCACTCCTACTTCCAAATTTCAGGGTTTTTTACTCAACTTTTGGATAGAGCACTTTAACTTATCTCAGAATTTAATGAAAATAACCACCACCATCCCAAACTGAAAGCACTTTTCATTTTATACAATTTGTATGACTCTTGATGAAACTGAGACTTACACACGGGCTATCAATGGCCCACTTATTTTAAGCCAAGCCAGAGCAGGCCCTGGCTTCCCTTTATGCCTCTAGAAAATGACAAGAGGATAACAAGGCTTTGTGTTTGCAAGTGCCGTGGTCTCAATATTTTTTGTGCCTTCAAGTCAAGTTAAACCCTACTGTCAATTAGTTATGCACTATCAATTAGTCATGACAAGTCCATGCAGTTTTCTTGGCAAGATTTTTAGGAGTAGTTTGAAACTGCTTTCTTCCTAGGGCTGAGAGAGAGAAAATGACTGGCTCAAGGTCACCCAGCTGGCTTTGTGCACAGAACTTACTGCCTTCTGGTTTCTAACTCAGTTCCTTTAATCCAGGGGTGTCAAACTGCCGACCTGCGGGCCGGATGCGTCATGGCAAAACTGCGCCCACCCCATTGCTGGCAATGGAAAAAAAGTCGTGATACGTCGCGGCACGTCATGTGACATTGCGAGTTTGACACCCCTGCTTTAATCCCTTCACCAAATTCACTCTTGCTCTCATAACAGGTTATTACATTTGCTTTTGACATTGGTCAAGGTACAAATTATTCTGGGCCATGCAGTATTTCCTACCAGCTGCAGAAAGCCCAGGGATGGAGAAAGCAAAAATGGTACTTTAGATATATAGAATATAAGGGAACTACAATAGAATCCTGAGGTATTACTGAGAATTAGGCATATGGAGCAACATCCAGATGGACAGATATGCCCATTTCATAACAATTCTTATGCAAAATCTTCTTTGGGGGTACTTGGGGAAGATGTCAAAAAAAAAATCAAGAAAGTAGGCTTCACGGCATGATTAAAATCCTAACCTTTTAATGTACATACAGCATATGGCAATAGATTAGTTTCTGTCTTCTGGTATCCTTTACATCAAAACTTTTGTTATCATAGTTGGTGAATTGTCCAGAAAAGAGAACTAAGCAATATAAAAAAAGGAGAGATGTATGGGCTGAGAAAGTTACCCATTAAACAAGAAAATCTGACATTACTCTAACATGAGCTTATCAGAGTGATCTATGAAGAGCAGTATTTTATTCACTGAAATAGACAGCAGCTTTCTGCACTTAGACTAGTTTGATGGTCCTATTTATCATTGGATAGCAGAACTAAAAGGTTTTAACAGCCACACATGTCAGTAATCCAACCAAACATATCAAACTCAATTCCACTGAAGAGGAGAGCATCCAGATTTCCAAGATTTCAACATGAAGACAAACATATATATATATATATATATATATATATATATATATAT